TGTATATAATCGATCACACCCTGTGGGCATTTTGAATTATGTTTTACAACAGACAGAAGTGTCTTTTGCTCGTCATCGGCCATGGTTAAATTATACTTGACATCTGGATCAGCTTCGAGAAGAAACTGAACGACATCTAACCGTATAGGAATTCCATCCTGTTTCAATAAAGCACCCAATAATCCGAGTGAACCATAAGTTGCTGACTGATAACAACTGCCTTTCAACTGAACTAATCGATGCATCTCCTTTATATCACCACCATTTGTCATGAATACTTGGGCAGCGAGTCTTTCCGAAGCAGCTTTCTGTAACACATCCACCAAAGATCGACAAATATCGGCTTTTCCTGGCATTACCGATCGATACCGTTTTTCCTCTGCAATAACGGAATGAATCATCGTGGCGCCGCTGCCAGTAGTAGCCGTAATATCTGCACCTTGTTCGAGAAGTTTTTGTGCTTCGCTGGAGGAATTTCGTTCGCTGGCTTTCGTTTCGACGAGTTTTATCAAATCTTTTGTTGATTTTGACATCGTTGAGAATAGTGTATATCTAGAATGAATTGTATGCAATATATAAGGGCTGCCGAAAATGGGAAAATACGATCAATATTGACTCGAATGAGCCCTGTGAAAAGTGTGTACCTATGAAAGAGAGAAAATATAAAAATGACTGTCAATAAAATGCCTATTAGTGGTCACATGACGCGATCGAGCCAGAGTTGAAGTGGTCTTTTTGACCTAGCTACAGCGTACAGTTTTGCTTGGCCACTCTCCGATAGTCGAGTGTGTCGCAGATCAAGCTTCTTTAACGATTGATGGTGATCGATCAGGTTAACAAACGAACTGATACTATCATCGGTAATGTTCACATTTGCACTGAGGTTTAGCAATTCGAGACACGTGTTATTACGTAGCAGAGCATCAGTCAACATCTTCACACCATAGTTTCCTATTTGATTTGCACTTAACGATAGATGAATCAAATCTGTTTTACTCTCGAGCATATCCGCTAAATACGTCGCACCTTCATCAGAAATATCGTTTTCCGATAAATCCACTCGTTCAAGAACACACTTGCTTAGCGTTGTTGCTAGAAAACGAACACCATCATTAGATACTTTATTATACGATAAAATTAATTCTTTCAAACATTCGTTGTGATTTAAAGAATTGGCTAATGTCGAAACACCTTTTCGTGTAATTTGATTGTACATTAGATTAAGTATTATGCACTGTTTGTTAATGATTCCTTCTTTGGCGACTATTTCCATATCTTGATCATTCAATTGCTCTCCACTCAAATTCAGATTTTGAGATGTGCACTCGCGGATGGCTTGAGAGAGAGTTTCATTTTGATATGGAATATAACTTTGCATTTTCATTGATGTTAACAACGATAAGGATTTTAATTCTGTTGTGGTTACAGCATGTTTAATCAGTAATTGTAGAAGAGAATATGGAGAATTGATCTCTTTTATGTGAATTATAGTCAAACCATTACCTCCATCCATACATGAAACAACTTGGAATTTACAAGCGGCAGGTAATAACACTTCATCTTCAGTTTTATACATCGAATGTTGTCGAATATTCTTACCTGAGTAACAATCGATTGTGAATAATGTTCGCGCACCTGTTTTGCCCAAAAAGTGTTCCTTTTCGAGAACACGAATTGATGCTGTACACGAAGAAAATGACCACCACACAAAGGTTTTCTCGGAAGGATAATTGGTACTCACATCTTGTTTAACTCCACGATAAACGTAACGATTTTCGAATGGTATTTTTGAGAAAGCTGTCATGATCAGTTTCAGATAGAGTAACCAAGGTTTTAGCAAAGACGGATTTCTGCTACGCATTGTTTTGTTCAAGATGATATAAAAGGAATTCTCTCGTGGTTGCCATTCGAGAGTATAGAGCATGATCGAAGCGGATTCGTCCGGTGACAGACCATCGGGTGGATCTGCACAGTTTTGCTTTACTGTCCACATCATATGTTTAATTTGAGGTATGAGCAAAACAAGAGGCTCGATAGCTATTTCAAGACTGACTAATGGTATACACCCATAGTTTGAATTAGCTAATGTCGACTCCTCAGACTCCTCTGATATATCACAGATGCGAAGTGCATGACTTTGCTCGTTGGAATCGACCATCTTTGGCAAGGAGAGCGTCAGCAAGATAAGCAATACGCAATTCTGTAGCACAAAGATCGATAATGATTAACAAGTGGAAACAATAAAGAACTTTAATCTTAAATACTTTCACGTATACGTCGTACGTGAGTGTGATCTTCTTCCGAAAGGTAAAAATCAGGTATGTGCATCACTCATCATATCGCCATTCTCATGTATATTAAGATGCAGATTTCAGATGTACTTCTATGATTTACGCTTTCCAATCGAGCAAAAACATAAAAATCAAATATTGACAAAAGATACGTGACACTGCAAAACATCGAAACGCGTAAATCATCCATTTATTTCACTCTTTTCAGCTCTCAAGTTCGATCATAAAATAACAGCAAACGTGCAGTATACAGACACATATATAGTTCTGAATTTAGTTGCCCTTGTTATACAACTTCCTTCGTTAATTCTGAAAAAGTAATAAATAGAATTTCAATCTATAACGAGAACAGAAGTGTAACACGATGGAACAGCACGCTAATACTGAAATGCTATTTCTACATCCCATATTGATCTTCATCTTTATTTTTAGATGGCTTCAAATGAGAATCACGACGTGTCAAATGAACAACTTCGTTTCACCGACATTGCGGACGAACCCAGAAGGATGCTGCCGCCCATTGAGGGATATGAAAACGAGCCTCTCGTTTCTCTTGAAGAAGCAGTGCAACCACTCGTTAAACACATCTGCACCATAGAGCAGCAAGCACAAATTGCCAAACGAAACTGTAAACAGAATTCGGTTCACGATCTAACCATGGACGAATCTGCATCGATCAGATTGTATACCATGGAATGTAAGCCGAAAGAACAGTGCCTCTACTATGTACTTAACCAAACACTTCGCTCCGAGGATCGGAGTCTTTTAAAAGATTGGTTTCGCTACTTGAGACTCATTATTAATGCACTGTTGAAAATACCATCGAGTCGTTCTCGTCTCCTGTTTCGAGGAGTAAAACTAAACTTGTCACAAGACTATCCCTTGGGAACGAAACTCTTTTGGTGGGCATTTTCATCGTGTACTACCTCAATGGAAGTACTTGAAAAGGGACCATTTCTCGGCGCTAAAGGTGCTAGAACCCTCTTTCACATTGATTGTTACTCAAGCAGAGATATTCGAGAATATTCTGCACATGCAAAAGAATGTGAAGCGTTGCTTCTTCCTGCTAGACAATTTCAAATCGTCTCAAGTCTTAATGCTGGTAATGATCTCTATGTGATTCATTTGAGAGAAGTTGAACCCGAATTTACTTGTATTAAAATCCCACCCATTGTTAAAAACTCGTCCAACATCGCATCGATACCTCCGCCAGTGCCACTTCCTGATAATCCAGAGTTGGAAAGTCACCTTGCTCGACTTCATCATCGTTCATATTTGAATTTGGTTGGTTGGCGATTATCCGATCAAGATATGAGCTTTATCGCAGAACAAGCCGTTTCCAACAAACAATGTGTGAAAGTGTCCATAAGAAATAGTCCTATAGCATCTCAAGGTTTATTAGCGCTAGCCATTGCAGTTCGGGATAGTACTACAATAGAGGAACTTGATTTAAGCAACGCTAATTTGACAGACAATGATTTGGATCTATTAGCACAACACATTTCGATCGATCAGTCGCTCGCGATAAAACAATGGAGTTGCTGTGGATTAGTAAAAGTGAAAGTAAATGAGTAAAACCTTTTATTTGTTTGCAAATAGGTAGAATAGAAAGTTAATGATGTTGTCAAATATTTTTAGGAACTACTGCAGGCACCTATCAAGATACTACGACTAAGCGATAATCATATTGGTGATACGGGCATCGAATATCTAGTAGAAGTGCTCAAGAACAGACGAACGTTACTTGAGCTGCACTTGAATGGTAATCAAATAAGTGATCATGGTGTTCGACTGCTAGCTACTATTCTGTCTACTCCAACAAGCAATCTGCGAAAACTCTATCTACACAATAATCCACGAATAAGTGATCTAGGTATTAATCACCTCATCGGCATGCTACGAACGAATCGACTGTTGAACACACTCTGGTTGATCAATTGTAATTTGACCAACGCCGGCCGGCAGAGATTGAGAGACACTGTTTCAACTAAAAAGGATTTTTATCTAAATGTTGAACAATTTAATTAATAAATTCATACCATGACATAAAATAACTCGACACCGTGCAGGTTTACATATGCTCAGGATCAGTGAGAATTCTTTCCCTTTATTTGTAGCATCGATCATATTGGTTCATCAAAACAAAATGCCGTGGACTATTCTTTGTTCTCTACGCAATATGGCTGTTGTTAAAACGACCAGAACTGTCAGATAAATTCATGTAATATCATCGAATGATTATATACGAGAGCGTTGGCAATACAAGTAGAGAACACATTAGAACTAATATTGAATAACCACCCTATACTATCTATAGCTCATGCATATGTTGCAGCGAACAATTAATAAGAAAGCATGTTCATCTAAAGATATTTTTGAATTCGTTGTCAGTTGTAAGTTAAGAGTAGCTGAGAATAGATTAAAATTTTTCTGCTGGAAGTACGACAGAAGAAAAGAAAAATCTTGTCTAGAATAAACGTACATACAAGACGGCTTATCTCCGTCTCGCGAGCAACCAAATATAATGTTTAATCATAACGCTTGAGTAACATATGCCACAAATGTCAGATGATTGACTTTAATTTGCGATTTTTGTATTTTTGAGAAAGAGATAGATGAATGATACTCTTCTTGTGTCTCATACTCTGCGAAGCAAAAGTCTTTCAAGTAAATCTTGAGGATGCCATTTTGATATCTTCTGAGCACATTTCACCGATTTTTCTCAGAAAGATGATCCACAACGTTTTCTGTCCCATTTCGTACAGTAACTGGATCATTATTTGCAAGTCGTACTGGCAATCGTCGAAGTATCCTTGTCTGGATGATAGTGAAAAACTCTCGTCGAAACATCGTTGATGAAATCATGAAATTACTGAAGGTCAACGCAAAGCCAAGATAAAGTGGAATATACGTCATATTGCTGACGAATGCTTCTATTTGAAGACGTGCCACTGACTTATACGTACTTCCAGTAATCGTTTCGTAGAGAAGAAAACACGGATTTGGTATGTTAAGAAACAAGGAGACAATAATTTGATTGATCAACATTTTCTGAAGGTGTCTATCTTTCCTCGATATGTCCTTCACTCGGATTGGTTGACCACCTGCGTGCGCATTACGAGCGACAGGCTCAACACGCCTCGAGCCTATTCGACGTACATTCTTAGCGGTTAGCAAACCGAAAATGAGCATCAAAATTAATGGAAGAATGCCATTGTCGATGGTAATATAGATGCTAAAATATACACCACTAGTTCCTGCTCGAGGTTGACAACTGTTATTTGCGATTTCATAAAAAACGATCACTTGAATATACACGATAGTCCAAAAGAGAGCATTACCAACAATTGCTCGAAATGCAGTTTTCGATGAACTCCATTGACGACGAAGAGCATCTCGAGAGCTAGCGATATAGCGATCAACTGAAGCTAGAATAATGTTGTAACGTGCATTAGCCATAAGAAGATATAGAAAGTAGAAGCGCATCTTACAAAACCAAAGATTTCTTTGTGCTGTTTGTTCATTAAAACCATATTGTAGTATTCGATTTAACAAGGAAAAATTGTAAAGCAATAATTGTGAACAGCTGGCGGCGAAAAAGTATATCGCACATGGGCTCTTCCGAAATTGTGGCCGATGAAAAACGATGCAAGTCAAAATTGATCCAATATTTCCCATAATCCAAATGGAACCAAAAACATATAGCGTAATATTCTTATTCAAAACATTGATAGAATCGGTCAATTGTACGCCATCCATCGTTGTATTGCTCATACCTCCTAGAATAAAGAAGCTGGTGAATGTCATACGGTATGTCGAGAGTAAGTGTAATAAAATATTTTCTTTTGTAATCTCATCCTTATACTCTGTCTGAACACTTACAAATGCCATGATTAATTTAAGTCGAGGATTATATGAAATCTTCACATGACTTTATTATAATATTTAAGAATTTATAGAAATGAATTTTTATGTTTGCCTTAACATCTTGATTTATTGACCAATCAGTATATACCGTCATATATATGCAGAAAATGACTTAACTGCAACGTAGTTTCGTTAAATTGCGATAACTATATCTTAGAGTGTTGAACTTCTGTAGAAATGTTGATACGTACTACGAGTATTCGGAAAAAGTCACCTATGAAAAGTTTTATCTGGATGAATTAATAATAGAAAGCCTGTCACATGAAAATGCTCCTAGAGTTGAAGAGTACTCAATACAACTAGATGGTACATTCCGTAGATCCCTCCTAACAGTGCAAAATCATTTTAATGAAAGTTATTTCGAACATGCAAAGAGCTTTCTAAAAAGAGAAGTTACTTTACGAGAACATTATGACAACTTTGCTACTGACGTGAGCGAGCATGACTATAGAAAAGAAAATATGTTGCACTAATTGAAAGGAAAGTTTCATATTAATTTCGAGAAGTGCAAATCTTTCCTCGGAATCACGAGATTATGCTAATACAAAGAATTTGATATCAGGCCTGGGAGCGTCCCTTGTAGCGTCTTTTTTCGAATGAAAATCTTGCTATACACGTAGACAACACTGAATATTCATTTCCATGGTATCCGCACGTTTTTCTTATGCGATTGAGAGAATCTTCAATATTTAATTTCAATCCGTAGCCGATTAAACGAGGATAGGTTTTGATACATAATTCACTCTACAAAATTTATGGAGAATACAATTAACCGGATTAGTCGCTATTTTGACCTACAAGAGATTTCCCGTATCTATTTATATAACTATCTTAAACGCAATTGCATATTAAGGACTACTGACGGCGTGACATTATGAACATGACAGAGTAATACTTTCCGAGCGAGAAGAACGGATCATCACATTTACATTCCTACACCATATAGTTAAAAATTCTGCTGTTACTCATTAGTCAATTAATCAGTATAGAAATCCTTAAATACAAAAAGAACATCATAATACATAACTATTGTACGTTATTGTTTAAGAAGCGCTTTACAAACCAAGCAGTAGCTTTCCTACTGATAGCACACATAACATCTTTTAGATTCAAATTTGAATTCTTAATAGTATTTGTCTCTTCTTTCTTGATATCAGCTATAATCCATTCAAGAAACGTATCCAAATTATCCATTTCAATCTCTAATTGTATTTCACAAAGATAATCGAGTGCTTGATTCATACGATTATCCGTGCAAGCATATTCGACAAAGTCGTCGATGCTATCGAATCTTTCTGCAGCAATCGGCGCCATCGGGCCACCTTTGGTCACTGCATGCATTTCACCTTTGACTTTAAATGAAAGATTGCCATATGATTGCAACCATTCAGTCCAAACAATACCTTCTCCATAACCTTTCTGATTAAAATACATGCCAACTGGACATTCATTTTCAACAGTTTTGGTAATTTCTACAAGCTTGCTCTGAGCAAGTTGCGGTTGATTAAAATCAATCTCGATGTCGTAGGTTGGAAAGTTGAAAATATTGTAAATCGATTGCTCAGACCATTGAAGGTTCGACCAATGTTTTGGATCAATCCAAACTGGCGGTTTTGACTCTCCGATTCGAACCTTGAAAATTACAAACATTTTTCGAACACCACACAGAGCAACATTCTTCTGAATGTTTCGACCACACCATTCTCCATAGATGACAATCGTATTTCCACGATCATAATGTTTTTGAAGCATCGAACAATTAATAAGAACACGCTCTTGTAGAAATTTCTCTGCTAGTGGATACATAAAACGTGCAAAACCATGATTATCCATTTCTGGAGATACGATCAGATGACGCGATTGACAATGATATCCTAATTCTTTCTGATAGACGATTGCGGCATTGGCTCCATGTAATTTCACGGTTCCGATGAATTTTAATTTCGGATAGTTTTTTCCTTGCTCAAGTTTATACCGATACGGATATCTTCTTATTGATTCAATTGCGTCGTGAAATTGGTTGGTATCTGGATAAGCGATCATTATTAACCGCGTACAGAAAAAACTAATCACAGTTCTTTCTTTTATTCAATTTATTTTATATTGCCGGCTTTTGCAATAACGTGACAAATGAATTGCGCAATAATACACTGTCATGGTAAAGTACGGATGCCTCGTGTTGATGATAAAAGTGTTGCTATGAAATGCATCGATATTGTGTAGGTATACATATTCACTACGTACCAATGTTTAATATGCTCCTAGCTCAGTTCTTGCATAGGTACGCGACAGGTACTTTTATTTAAATTTGAATTTGATTGACGTTGAGAATGATGAATAGAATTTAATTACAATCGTGATCAACTATATAAATCAGACGTTTTATCGTGAGATATTCAAAAAGTGCTTTGCTTATTGATTGTATTCTTGGTCTACTTACTTGCTGTGAATGCCGATCCGCTGCTTCGAGCCAAACGTGATAACGATATTTTCTCTGTTTGTGCTCGCATGGATATCTGGGGTTTGAGTGAAGTCGCAGCGAAGCTATGTATTGGTGCTTGTTGCTCGCAAAATTGTGGCACTGGAACTTGCCAGAAGAGAGGGGGACGACCTGTTTGTATTTGCAGTCGATGTGCCAATGGAGGCGGATCGGGTATTGGCTGTTTCATCGGAAAGAAATAGAAAGTTTGCCACAAACAAACGTCCCTAAAAGTTTTCTTTCCATTTTCCATATCTATATCTCACCATAATGAATAAACTAATTATAGACTGACAAATACGTTTTCCCTATTTTTTCATAATAGTAGAAACCAGGAATAGACGTTTTGCAACATTCTGGAAAAGGAAAATGTCCAGCTGATGTCAAATTTAGTAGAAATCTTATATTGCTCTTGTTGATTTTTTCCGAGATAAACAATTCATAGTCTGTAGGAAATTTTGTATCGATATGTCCTCAAAGGTTCATGATATTTATTGCATAACATTAAAAAAACATAAAATCACGAAGTTGATAAATTATCAGCATGAATTGGAATAGATATTAAATTTTTGTATTCGGTTATTCCCATTGTCCGAAACGTAGATATTACCGAATCGATCAAAAGCAAACCCTGTTGGATAGTTCAGTTGATTTATTTTATCTCCACAGCCATTACCACCCACAACTATACTACCTGCTTTCGATCCGTTGCACCATCGTACGATTCGACAGCAGCCACAATCTACAATGTAGACCGTTCCCAACCGATCGACAACCACTCCATAAGGTGATGACAATTGTGTAAGGTCATCTCCTTTACTTTGACCGCCTGCTACGATGGTCCCTTCTTTTGCTCCGTCTGTCCATTTCATAACACGATAGTTATTCATATCGGATACATATATCGAATGATCCTCATCCACGAATATGCCTTGCGGACCATTTAGTTGATTGAGTGCGCGACCTCTCCCATTGCCACCAGCAACTAAAGTGCCTTCAACTTCGCCTATTTGCCAGCGTCTCACCTCATTCTTTGTGTAGTCAGAAACGTAAAGATATCCTCTATCATCTATCGCTAAACCTCGACTATCGATGTTCGAAATTATTGTTTGTCCGCTATGTGCATCTCGACAAGGCCATCTGACAATTCGTTTATTTCCAGAGTCACAAATAATAAAATTGTTTCTTTCGTGATCGAGAATAACATCTAGCGGATTATTAAGTTGATTTGGTCCACTTCCCGCTCCATTTCCACCAGCAACGATTTGTCCTGCTGTTTGATTCGGTTTCCATCGAACAATGCGATGGTTGCACCAATCAGTGATATACACGCTCTGATCGTCGTTATCAACACAGATTCCTTGTGGTGCATTCAATTGATTCAGTTTTTCGCCTCGTCCATTGCCACCGGCTACCGTTAGCCCATCTTTGATCCATTGGGCATTGAAATCGATGCAAGTCGAACGTGGTAATACTAGAATGAAACGGATTGTTCATGCTTTAAAACTTGATGGCTAAAAATTTTTCTTTCTACTCTTTTCTGGTTGTTTCTCAACATAGATGAGATGATTCCAATCAACCTGACCAAGTTGTGACGCGATTACATTAATATTGTTTGGTTGAGCTGATTGTTGAAGGGCTTGCTGCAATTTATTGATCTTCGTTCGAAATCTTGTTATGTCTTCTTCAGCAAATTCATCTTCTTCTCGCTGTCGACGAATTTCTTGTGTTAACCTGTCAAATTGCTTTCTTAGCAACTCTTTCTCGTCGTCGAGCAATCGAGTGAGTTGCTCACGAGCTCTATTCGCTGTTCTTTTTACTATATCCATCGTCGAAGCCTCCCATTGATCGATAGTGACGAAGTGTTCGAACGAGGTATCGTTTGAATTCTGCGCCTGATTGATTTGTTCAACTAATCGATCGCAAGGTTCTATTACATCCTGATCATATTGTAAAGATAATTGTTGTCGATGTTCATTGAAATGTTTTATGCAAAAGAATGCTTGACATCCGACACAGTTACACATAGCTGCATTTTTTTCACAGATTGAACATCGATTCGATGCGATTGCACTGGCCATTTATGCAGGAATGATTTGAACGCAATGATGAAGTGTTCTTTACAATACTAGTAGAGTTATCTTACTTCGCTTATATCAGTATCATAGTGTGTCAACAGCAGATGTTTAACAGAGCATGATTTACGTTTCGTTTGCTTCGCTTTTGATTAGTCAAAAAAAGTTCGACCGTTAGAAATGAGTATTCGATTGATGTCGCTGCTAGATGCCATCCAGTTGACGTTACAAAATACCTGTGAAACTCTAATCCAGTAGAAATTATCATTTTGCAGATAACAGACTTCTCGAAAACAATGCACACATCGAAAGCATAATTCTCCTAAAACATCTATCGACAGCACGTATAAAGGGTTAGAAATCCTGTATATTTCAATGCTATATATGTTATGTGTTATAAATCAAGTACTGCTTTATTGTGTGACACAATAACTATAACTACTGCGGAATAAAAACTATGTTTCACACGTTTTTCTCCATTGTCGCTTAAAAATATACGCGATACAGTTTTCCTCTGCGATTTTCAAGGTTCTTTATGTAACTTTGCAGATTGTAGGTGAGTTAATGGCAGTGTCTGTTGTCCAATTTGAACAGCATATTCGAAAGAACGCCTAGCATTCTAGAAATCACTCTTTGATAACCTGCGTATGCTTCAATGATGGATCTAACTGGTCTAACCTTTTGCCGGATGGAACAAACTCATTGGTACGGTATTTCGCTCATATTGACCAGTTATTTCTTGTAATTGGAGATAGATGTTCATGATATCAGTAAAAACACCTTTTATTTTTTGCCCATTCGTCGTCTTGATTTATTTTGTCACAGAAGATGAAAATTGAATCTATTTATGGAATACCGTGTATACATGGAACGAAAAGTTTTGCAAGTGATCCTAAGATGACCAGGCATACTATTGTATCATCGTTATCAATAAATGTGTATACGTCAGTGACAATTCAACGATGTAGTTTAATCATATTTTGATAGATTTCATTGTTATCATTAGTGTCATTATTCAAGCAAACGATACGATATTGTATTTCGGTCGTTGCTCTCTCAAGAAGACGCGTGTCTGATAGCAATATCTTTATCACAGATATCGACGGTGAACCAATAGAGACGGGTGTCTTTATTTTTATACTATCTTATGAAAAAAAGACATCTACCATTCGTAACTTCTTTGTCTTCGTTGTCACTTTCAAGATAAATATTTTGAAGTTGAAATCGTCGAAGTACACAATCGATGGAGTCAAATACTAGTATTATAAATGAACAATTAATCGACGATTTCATCAATCAAGAAATCCAACAAGGCTTTCCCGGTGCTGCCCTTGTTGTAGTTCAACATGGTCAAATACTTAAAGAGACTGTCTACGGTCATAAACTAAAATACGATGAAAATGAAACACTTCTTGCTGAACCACAACTACTAACATTGGACACAATGTTTGATCTAGCATCGTTGACGAAGATGTACGCAACAAATTATGCTTTGATGCAAATGGTTGAACAAGGAAAACTGAATGTCGACGATCCAATCAATAAATATTTACCAGAATATTGTGGATGTAATCCTGAAAATGAATATCGCGAAACAAGGCTAGTTCGAGATTTGTTAACACACACAGCGGGTTACGCTTCAAGTATTGAATTTTACGATCCAAGCAAAGTGCCATCAGATTTATATTCACTAGAGAAACATCGAACTGAAGAAATCATCTTGACAAAAGTCGGATTCGAACGATCAAGAGGTGCTGGTCATTTACCGGTTTATTCGGATATTGATTATATGCTCTTGGGTATACTGGTCGGACGTAATAGCGGAATGTCCATTGATGAATATGTGAAGAAGAATATATATCAACCGCTAGGTTTAGCACATACATTATTCAATCCACTTAAACAAGGACAATATCACAAATCTGATTTTGCTGCGACGGAAGTGAAAGGAAACACGCGTGGTGGTAGTATAACTTTTCCTCATGTCTGCACACATGTCTTACAAGGGCAAGTTCATGACGAGAAAGCTTATTATTCTCTCAATGGTGTTGCAGGACATGCAGGTCTGTTTTCTAATCTACACGATATGGCTATACTTTGTCAAATTATGTTAAATAACGGTATATATGGTAATATTCGGTTTTGGAGCAAACATGTCCAAGATCTTTTTGTTAAACCGTATGAAGGCGACCCATCGTATGGATTGGGATGGCGGTTGAATCGAAATAAGTCCTTAAAATGGTTTGGTTTGCATGCATCTGAAGATGCCTATGGTCATACAGGATGGACAGGCAATTGTTCGGTTATTGATCCCAAATATTCATTGGCAATTGTTCTGCTGACAAATAAACGACATACGCCATGCAGGAACGGAGTGTTCGATGGTGAAAAATATGAAACTGGAAAATATGGTCAAATCATGACATTAGTCTATGAAGCTTTGTCATTAGATAAACAGTCTCATATAATGGAATAAGTGAACGCTACGGCAAGGATTGAGCAAAAAATCATGAAGAAAACGATATCCGGGAAAAGCAGACTTTCTTCCGCATTATGAGATGTTTCATTGCGTAATGTCGTCCTATGTAATTTTCTCTTCTACTGAACATTTCATATAACATTTCAAGATTCTATTTCACAATCTCATTACAATCATATTCTCGCATATTTTCCATCCAACAGAATCTAGTCCATCATAAACTATATGTAATCTCTAAGAAAGACACCACTCATATTCTCCAAATGAGAACGTATAGCTCTAGCACTTCTAAAATTACTAATCAACGAATATGTCTTTAAAAGAACCTGTTAAATTCACACTTGCAGACAGTAAAGTACGTCTAAGTCGTGAAATACCGGAATTCAATGTTTACAGTAACAATCAATCATTCAATTACCGAATACATCGTTTCTTCAAGTTATCCGCTCGTTCCAAACATCATATTAGACTTCGTAGCTATTGCTTTTTGTGTCATAGCAATTTGCAAAACATGTTTGTTTATTGTTTGGATTCTTCTACGTCGATTGTTAACCAAGCCAGAGCACAAAGTTTTGTTTCTTCTTAGCGTGAATATGTACGCAAGTATACTTATATTTAATTGTTTCTGTATTGATATGTTTATTTCAATGGTCAAAGGACATTTTTATCCGAATGTATTTCAAACAGAGTACGACACATTATGGTGTCGTCTCAATGCGTATCTATCGAATGTTTTGCTTATATGTTCACTGTATTCGACCACGTTTCAAGCTTTTCATCGCTGCTTGCGTATCATATGTTATACTAGTCCCGCAATCTATCAAAATATCAATTGGTGTCTAATTGGCATAGTTATCCAAGTGCTGTTAAGTTTACTTCAACCGTTACCCCTAATTCTCGCGAACATATATCAGTATAACGATTATCATTGCCAAGTTCAATTTACAAATTGGTCTGGAATGATCGTAGCAGCTGCTCTTGTTTGGATTCTACCAATTTCGCCCACAATAGCCACCTATCTATACACAATATACTTTATACGTCGTAATTCTCTATATTTTACACATCGACAGCATACAAGAATCAAGCGAGATATGACAGTCATACGGCGTATCGTTTGGCTGATTATTTTCATCGTGATATTTGGTATACCAGCGTGCAGTACAACCGTTGTGTATTACTTGTTTGGATACGTGAGTTGGTGGGAAAACTATGTGATATGGTTGACTTTTATCTTATCTTTCATCGGTGTAAGCACTGTCCAAACATTCTATTCTCCGCATCTTCGTATTCTATGGAGTAGACCATCACGTCGAGTAGGTCCAACAATCCATGGACGATATCGATCGTAAAATTGAACCGTCGTTTTCACGTGTGTAATTGAAAGTGGTACCTCTTCACCTTTATTGTTACTTGCACCATATACTATATTATCCTCTTTTCATCTCATTTTCTAAAAACCTATTTAAGATCCAATGTCACTAAACGACATCTATATGTTGTCAGGTTACTTTTACTTGTGGACCTCGGGATTGATTTTGAGATGCACTATATATCGAATATAAATAGAAATCTAGCTCAAAAATGCTTTCTCTAAACTCATAAATTCCTTGCCATTGGTGTGCAATTGTACAATAATAAAGTAGGTCGTAACGTCGTATTAAAATCTACTCTTTTTCGTTGTGGCTTTAACCTGTCTTATACATGGCAAACAGTACCCTCAAATTATATTATTTTAATCTACAAGCTCGCGCTGAGCTTATTCGTTTGATATTTGCTGCTGCGGGTCGACCATGGAATGATGTTCGTTTTGAAAATAAGGAATGGCCTCAATACAAACCCAAAATGATACTTGGTCAATGTCCCGTACTTGAACTACCCGATGGAACTCAAATACCACAATCGTTAACTATTTCTCGTTATGTTGCACGCGAGAATGGTTTGGCTGGTAAAGATAATCTTGAATCAGCTAAGATCGATGCTGTTGCTGATACTCAACGCGATTTGAACGATGTATTTCACAGTAAGATCTTGTTCGAGAAAGACCAGAAGAAAAAAACGGAAGAAATCAAACGATTTACCGATGGCGATTTGTTCAAATATGTCAACAGACTAATGATCTTGAAGAAAGCCTATAGTAGAGATACAAAATATTTTGTGGGTAGTAATTTATCGTGGGCTGATTTATACGTTTATCTTTCAATTGAACGAATTATTAAAAGTATGCCAAATATGAAAAGTTCATTGGATGCTCATTTTAAACCTACGCTTGATATGGTGAACAGCAATTCCAACATAAGAAAATATCTCAATGAACGACCAGTAACACCTTTTTAAGTGACTGAAAGAAACAGAAAACGTTATTAGAATGTATTTTATACGGAAGATGAAATAAACGAAAAACTTTTATTGCTTCTGAAGAAGTTTACCATGGTTGTTGACATTCAGGAGAATGATTACTGTTATTTGAAACTACGAGTATAGTATGTCAAAGGGAAGAATATTCAAGGATATATATGTTTTCGACGAAGAAAAAAGCTTATAATTATGCAATCGGAAGTAGTTTTAAATCTGTACAAACACCTGATATATACTTTATCGGTGGAATAATCATCTCATATGTACATATCATAAAAGAAAGCAATAGTGTGTTTGGAAATAACCAAACTTGCTCCAACGCTTGTTCTTCAGCTAATATAAGGCGACGATTATATTATATAAGACTACTATACAAAACAGAAGGCTTCCTGTGACACACAGTTTTCAACAAAGCAGCGTAGTTCATACAAGCTGATGCCTACTTCACGATATTCAAGTAGGAATTTCAGATAAAAGTTTATTAGCTGTCTATATTTAGTATTCTTGCCTAGTCGTCATCCCTATCATTTTTATCCTGATGATGAATTATCCATTATATGCCAATGGTACTAAAGATTATGTATCACAAGCTAGTAGTCCTACACTTAGTGGTGGTCAAATAGCGGGTATTGTGATTGGATTGATCGCCCTATGTTGTTTACTTGGATGCATAGGAGCCGCCTGTAATGGTAAGAAAAAAGTGGAGCCACAGCCACCTCCAACACAGAAATATGCAGTGGCTGTTGTGCGCATAGAATAACAAAGCAAAACTTTATTATTATTTGTACTTTGTATGCTTTTTCATAAGAAAAATAAAAAGTATATATTTAACTCTTGAAACAGTGTAACCAGCTTCACGTTAAAAAGCAATCTAAACCTGACTCAGAAATTATCGCTTTCCACATAATTGGCATGTTATTCAGTACCATTGTAAACTTAGCCGCGCATGATGGTAGCAGTTCTTTTTTTTTGTCTGTCATACAAGGATTCACAGAAAAGAGTGACAGAATGAAAGTTCAAAATGTTTTCAAAAGACAAGGCCAGATGATTAGTCATACAATCAGAATTTATTATGAAACTATGTGATCGGATCACGATGTACACTTATAAAAATATAATTACAAGTTTTGACAAAGAAATAGTACATTATTATTCAGATTTTAGTACTTGGTAAAATTTGATACTGTCGGCAATGGTTTAAGATAATGTTTTCTTGGTAAGTTGACTGTCTTGGTAAATACGCTACTCATACGTGTAGTCGGCAGATGTGTTCGAAGATAACGTCTTCCAGGAATATTGATTTTATTCGACTGGGTATTGCTGATCAAAGGTTCAGGTTTATATGTTCGTAGATAAACAAGCCATAGTAATGGACAAGTCATAAATGTTGTAACTAGTGCCATGATAATAAACATGGTAAATAGACGAGGTGATAAAATGTGAAGTTGAAGGCCGATATTTAAGGCAATGAGCTCAACCAAACCCCGTGTATTCATCAGAATACCGACAGCTGCAGAAAACTTCCATGATTCACGTGTAGTAATCTTTGTCATTATGAATGCCGGTATAAATTTTGCAAGTGTAGCAACAACAAAAATAAGAACTGTTATACCGCCGTAGAATTTATCATCTAACGATCCTAAACTTGTTCTCATACCACTAGCAGCGAAGAATAATGGAAGTAGCAAATGAACAGTGACCAATTCGATTTTAGGAAATAGTTCAGCATTGAACTTGCCCGATTTTGGACAGATAATTCCAGCAATGAATGCACCGAAGAATGAATGTATACCAAGTATCTCACAGAAAAATGCAGACGCAATCAAAATAAGAAATACACCAATAAGAAAGAAACTGTTCATTTCGTTGTTGCGCTTCAGTAAGAAATTATGTACAGCTGCAAGCGTCCACTTGACTATTGTAAACATAAATATGACATAGCCAATAGCAATCAACACGACCCTGTATACACATACATAGATTAGAATAGAATGCGTATATGATCTCTATCGTTATACATACCATAAACCGATGATTCCTGATCCTTTAGCAAAAGCACCAGCAATAGCTAGTGAACACCAGCCCATAATATCATCGATGGCTGCACAACTAATCGTTAGAGTACCGATTCTGGCCGATATCAAATTCTTCGATGTGAGAATCGAAGCAAGAACTGGAAAAGCAGTAAATGACATGCTTGATGCTATGAATAGGATGAACGCTGGTCGGTCCGGTGCGGCAAATCCATCTCGATTGTTGATATCATACAAGTAGATAGACAAGCCAACACCAGATGCATATGGGATGATAATAGTAGAAATTGCTATAGGAAGCGACCGTTTCCATTCTTGTCGAATTTTTCCCTTGTCTAGTTCTAAGCCCAAGTTGAACATGAAAAGAATAAGACCAATATTGCCAACTAATGTAAAGTAGTTCCAAGATGATGGAGGAAATATATGCGTCGCCCAAAAATCAATATTTCCTAATACTGAGGGACCAACAATCACTCCAGCAATGATTTCACCGATGACCTTGATAAATATTTAAATCGTATGAAAGTCAAATACTATATAGAAGCCAATTCCTTACCGATGGTTGTTTGATTAATCCAAGTATCCAGCCCATGATACGAACTAGTACAAGTATGATAAAAAGTTGCATAAGAAATCGTGGCCAATAGTTAGCATCAGTGGATGGATCCGCAAATATATCGGTGCTCATGATAATATATCAATTATTCTGGAGAAGAGTATTGTGTACCTAATCGAGTATGTCGGCGATCTTTATATACACGACTCCACATATTGTAATGGGTGATAGTAATAACCGGTTTTAGAGCTAGGCGTTTATCCGGATTCATCGTATGATTTCAAAATTCGTATCAATTAACATTTTGTCCTTGTATTCACATTCTTGTCGCATATACTTTATTTTAATGTTTTCATTTCTTTTACTTTTCAATATGTGTCTTGTTACACGCAGCCGATGAGTGTGATGAATGTGATAATTGTCGTACCTTGACAAGAGAAAAATATTTCAGTGATATAATCACGAATTGATTTGATATTTGAGTATGTATGCAATCAAGTGTACAATAACCGGTTAGAGAAAGTAACATTTGGTGATCATATCCACCCTTGAAACCGGTTTCGAAAGAACAAGCTGCTTTTTTGCTATTCAATTTGAGCACGATTGTAAAAAGAAATATTGATTTATATCCCTCACTATTCGTTTCGTAATATTTATTTACTTTTAATACGATGAAAAAAGCATATTACAATCGTTTGATTTGGCATATAGTGCCATATGACAAAAGTCAACGTCAAGCTGCATAATACTATCCTATAGATGATATATTTCTTTTTTTGACTCCTGCTCAGAAACAGCTGTAGATGTGCTGCTAACCACTGTACGACGTTGATCAATATATTGTTCGAATTATCTTGAACTCCATCGATCAGCATATTCTTTATTCCCATCACTTTTGAAGGATTTCCAAGCTTGATAGTAACAAACCTCTACCGCGTAAAATACAGTCAACAAACTGGAATATGACTTGTTCGTTTGGGTGCATCTCTCTCTCTCTTGTAATTTACTTTCAAACTATGTTAATTCATCTGCAAGTGCAAAAAGACCATCGATTAAAAGTCTATAATCCTGTTGAGGAGCTCTTGTGAGTGCATGAGCGGCGAAACGAAGATAATGAAGGACGAATAGATAATCTTACGCTAATCATGTGTTGAACTGTTGAAATGTAATTTCACCATTTGACATCAATTGAATAAATTTGTGCTCAGAAGACGTCTGAAATAATTTATCATTGGATAAAGATGCATTAAATGAAGACATTTTCTAACGTTATGAAACGAAGAAGAGAGTGGGATGTGGTGTTGTGTGATACCGAGCGAACACAGCCTTGATAACTTCGATCTGCTCATTTCTTTTCTAGACAGTCTATTTGACATAAAGTTCGTTTTCGAAGACACTCCTTGCTCCTTCCTGTTAAACTGAAAAACACACATGTGAAAATAACGATCGCTGATGACGCCGCGTGCTATCCAGATGCTTCATGCTATATGAAACGTTATTGCCATCTGTCGAATGTATTTTTTTGTAACGTTCCCATTATTGGTTGTAGTTATGACTCACTATCTTCTATCCGCTCTCGTGTTTTATTTTGTCTACACTATTCTTACTAACCATTATTCACAAAATGAATTCGTATTGGACATCTGCGACAAACTTTTTATTATCAGCTATTGATAAATCTAAACAAGCAGGAATATTCATAAAAGATGTAGCAGTTACTGCTAGTGAAAAGTGGCAAAATAGCTCGTCAACTACAAAAACAGTCGTTGTTGCCACAACGGCTGCCGTAACAGCTCCGTTGGTTGCAGTACCTGCTCTCGGTGCAGTAGGATTTACATCAGCAGGTGTAGCAGCAGGTAGTGTTGCAGCAGCCATGCAATCAGCTACAACAGTAGCAGGAAGCACATTTGCTTTATGCCAGTCAGCTGGAGCCGTTGGTGCAGTTGCTACATCTACTTCTGTAGCAGTTGGACTTACAGCTGGAACGGTTGCAGGTGGTGTTACAGCTTTGGCTGCTAAAAATGGAAATGGATCAAGTGAACAGAGCGTTCGAGATAATGGACGTCCCCCACCACATAAACTTTGATGATGCTTGATGAGAATTCTCCCGTACTTTTCTTCACTATTGTCGCAGTATTATGAGTTTAAACTACTCTCTCAACATATAACAAAGAACGGCACACCATTGAAACTTTGCTTCTCGTTTGATAGAACTTACACCAAGTACACAAAACAAGAGGAATCTTTATCATAACGCGTTTTTGATAAGGTTCTTTCATACTTAGAAAAAAAATCACATATAAACTAGATGGATTGACATTTAGCTCGCATTTGAGCAAGGCCATTTAGATAGGCCTGTAGGTATGGATGATCTTGCGGTAATGCACGTTCTCCGATTTCTACGGCTTGCTCGTAACATGCAAGTGCTTTTCCATATTCACCTATCTGCCAATAGACCAAACCGATATGATTATACGTGTTTGCTAAATCAGGATGACCTTCCGGTAGAGCAACTTTTTTGATTTCAAGTGACTTTTCAAAAAATTCTAATGCTTTCGAAAGGTTTCCTAGGTTGAAATGTGTCAGAGCGATCGTATTGTAAAGAGCTCCCATAGTCGGATCATTTGGAGGTAGTATATGTTGGCCGATTTTTAGTGAACGTTCGTAAAACGAAAGTGCTTTTGGATAATCTCCTGTATTTCAATAAATTAAACCCATGTTGTTGAAAGTAGCATACAGATCAGGATGATGGTCAGGAAGAATCGCTTGTTTGATGTCGATCGATTTTTCGATGGATTCGAGTGCTTTAGCAATCTCGCCCATGTTAAGATATAATACACCGATATTGTTGTAAGTTGTAGCTAACTCTGGATGATTGGGAGGAAGCGATTTCAAACTGATATCCAGTGACTTCTGATAGAATTCGAGTGCTTTCGGGTAGTCAGCCATGTTCGAATAGACTAAGCCAATATTGTTGTACGTTATAGCGAAACTAGGATGATTCGAAGGCAAAGACTTTTGTTTAATATCGAGATCCTTTTGAAAAGCCTCGAGTGCCTTTGATAATTCTCCGATATTGCAGTGTAACAAGCCAATGCTATTGTAAGTAACAGCTAAATCAGGATGATTGGGAGGAAGAGTCTTTTGTTGAATTTCCAAGGTTTTCTCATAGGCATTCACTGCTCTTGAATATTCCTTGATTCGTTGATGAACATTGCCGATGTTACTACTAACAGTAGCAAGATCGGGATGGTTTGTTGGCAGAGATGCAACACAGATATCGCGTGATTTTTCATAGAACTCAAGTGCTTTTGTGTAGTCTCCTAAATGATAGTATGCTGCTCCCATGTTATTGAAAGTCTCCGCCATGTTGATGCGATCAGAAGGCGTTGCTTTTTCTCCGATTTCACGCGATTTTTCGTAGAATTGTAATGCTTTCGAGTAATCTGCCATATTATCATACATAAGACCAATACTATTGTAAGTATTCACTAGATCCGACACTTTCGAATCGGAATATTTCTGTTGGATTTCAAGAGAAGTTTCATACAATTGCAGTGCACCTTTATAATCTCCTTTGTTAGACTTTACTTCTCCAAGATGATAGTACAGTGACGCGTGTAGTTTTTCATCGTCTTTGAATGTTTGTTCGAGTAAGACGCGAAAAATCTCTTCAGCCTTCTCAAAATTACCCATTTTGATTAATAAACGACCCAGTTGTTCCCATTTCGTTGACTTCGACGTTTCCTCGCGTATATATTCAGTCAGATGTTTCAAATCTTCGTCATTATCCCTGGTTAGTGTCAGTTCCACACGCCAAACGCGATCTTCGATTTCAGTTATCTCACCAATTCGAAAAACGGTATGCATGGAAAATAAAATTTCCTCCTCATTCGGAATTGCACTCACGTCCTTGATCGGAGCAAATGGTGTTGAAGACATCGATGGATCCACAGTCATCTGAAAGAGTACACCAACTGTACCGGCTTTTTTCAACGATTTCTTCGCGAATTGTAACGAAACGCTCTCATTGATACTTGTCGATAGAAAAGTGTTAAAAGATAACAGACCATCTTTCTTATTTTTGATCTCTTCGAAGTCAGCTATCGGCATTCCTTTTCCTCGGTAAACATAAATCAGACTATTTTTATCCATACACGAATGTAATTCTTCAAGATGTCGATGAACGTCACGTAAGAAAAAGCCCATCTTCAGAATAACCTCCACATCCTGTATGCGAAGTGCTCGATTGAGTAATTGATATGTGAAACACTCGCATGTGTACCACCAGATTGGTGTATGAAGATGATAGTCATGATCGAATTCATCGATAATTTCTAATTCATGTGGATTATTATGAAACTGTTTGCGACAGAATTCGACGAGTTCTGTTTTAGCTTTCTCGTCATATTCTATCTCGAGAAGAACTTCTTTCAATAACTGTGTGTACATGAACGAAGGCTCGAGCCGGTCCACGTTTTTACTTGTCACACTGATCGTTACAGAATCCTGATTGCACTGTTGAGCATCTCGTTTCAATACCTCGCAAATGCTTTCAATATCAGTGAAAATGCCTTTAACCTTTGGCCATTCCGAAGCCCATTGTTCATATTTGGATTTATTCGCACAGAATATGTAAACAGACTCGAGTTGAGGCGCCCGATGAATGCATGGGATAATTGTTTGACTCAAAGAACCTGATATGAGCATAAATACCTTTTCATCTGTGATTTGATCGAGAAAAGGGACACATTCATCAGGATTGGTAAGTGTATTGATTGTATTGACAATTGTTCGAAGTTGTGTTAGAGAATTTTTGAAATCGAGATTGTTTTCATCGATCTTTGAGTCCAACCAAAGTAATGTAAAGTTTTGAACGATACGAACTCGTTGCTTGTTGTCGACTGATTTTGCTGCATCGATAATTTCGGACGAAACTATTTCCGTCTGATGATCGTTGTCGGCAATCGGCACATCGATTGAATCAGATAGTACAGTTGATTTCAAACATTTCGACACGCAACGTCCCATCTTTTTGTAAGTCAAATAGAAAGTATTCTTCTTTTCACCTGTGACTTTACACGAAAAACATGCAGAAGAAAGATAAACCTCTCCTTTTCTAGTCCTATTTTCTACGACCACGTTCTTCAATAGATATACAGTATACGTACTAATCAAGGTTATTTCTCACCTTGCACACATGATTCGTTGAAATTCGAAAATAAATCTGCTTATTCATCGCAGCGTATGTAGAGCGAAATTTCATATTTACAAATACATTATTCGAAGCGTAAAAGAATTCATTGCGTTCTGTCGCGTCCTGCCACTAAGATGACGGCAGCACGTCTAAAACTACGTCACGCGCAAAACGAATGAAAAAAAAGTTTTCAAGTATTCCTATTCATTCATAAGCAATAATGTGCGTCAACGAAGTAACATGTTGACTAGTAACGAACACACGTACTGTTCGATATAGGCATATATAAGAGACGTGACAAAATCGTTCTTTTTTTATTCAATCAAATCATGGCAACAACGAAACCGTATTCTGATGAACCCCGCGCTACGTATAGCAACGACAGTATGTGCGCATATGAAAGAAGAGAATAATAATAAAAAGTAGATTGATATTGTTTCAAGATCGTATTCATCCAGCGACAAACGCAAACATGACATCGAATCAAGCAACAAAAATTTCAAGTAATCAACCGAGTTTTATACCTATGCGAAATCGTTATGTTTTTCTCTTATTTTTAGTTAATAATGATTCGAATCAGTCCGATGAGAGTGATTACGATTTATGCGGATGGATATTAATTGTTGTCTCGTATATTCTCATCGGTATCACCGCTCCATTCACAATCTGTTTATGTATTAAAGTTTGTAACAACGATCGATTTCTAGAATAAATATTAAATCCGATCTTCGAATTTAAGGTCGTACAAGAGTATGAACGAGCCGTAATTTTTCGTCTCGGTCGAATTTTACGAGGTTTATTTACTACAGTTTCATTCAATCTAGTAATTATGATAAGGAAATGCTTGTTTTTATAGGTGGTGCAAAAGGTCCTGGTCTATTTTTCATTCTTCCTTGCGTCGATACAATATACAAAGTCGATCTACGAACGACAACATTTAATGTTCCACCTCAAGAAGTCTGTTATTTATTTGAATACTTGCACTTTATGTGCACTATTGAATTGTAGGTATTAACACGTGATTCGGTGACAGTCGCGGTAGATGCTGTTGTTTACAGTCGTATCGTTGATCCGGTAGGAACTCATCGATGATTGATTCTAAAATCCAAAATAATACCATGCTGTTGATTCACATTAGGTTGCTTCTGTAACGCGTGTTAGTAATGTTCTTCCAGCTACGCAATTACTTGCACAAACAACGCTACGAAATATGATCGGAACGAAGACATTACAAGAGGTTCTATCTGATCGAGAAGCAATTGCTAATCTAATGGAAGCTCAATTAGATGAAGGAACTGAACCATGGGGTATTAAAGTTGAGCGTGTTGAAATGTATGTCCTCATTTATCGCCGAAAGCTCTATATACTCTTATTCGTTTTAGTACGGATGTTCGCTTGCCACAGTCTATGCAACGATCCATGGCAGCAGAAGCGGAAGCTAGCCGAGAAGCTCGCGCAAAAGTCATTGCTGCAGAAGGTGAACAGAAAGCATCGAGACAGTTGAAAGAAGCTGCTGATGTGATCGCATCGTCACCAATAGCATTACAATTGCGTTATTTACAAACATTAACACAAATATCTGCCGAAAAAAATTCAACAATCATTTTTCCCATTCCTAGTGAGTTGATTTTAAAGGAGTCGTTTAACTATGTTCTTTTCCCTGCCTTTTAGTTGAACTGATGAATCTAGTTAGACAACCATCGGCACCATCAGGACGATCGAATAATAGATTATCCGACGTACTCAATTAAAAACTCCTCACACAATGATCTCTTTTATACACGCTTTTGATCTTTGATTATACTTTATTTTTTCTACACAGCAGAGTGCGAATGATGACCAACTGATTGAATAAAGCGTAATCGTTAAGTATGTATCGGAGTTGTCAAACGATTTCTTCAGTGTTATTATTTGGGGAGTTCTTTCGTTCTTCCTCTAATTGTCGTTTTCTCTTATGACGAAGTCTGAGAACCTTAGTAGAAGCACTTTTGCTCAGTGATAGTCCACGTTCTCTTTCCATTCGTCGCAGGAACGGCCGTACACGTTCACCACCAACTCGAGCACGAACTGGTAACGAACCCGGTTGATTATCCATCTGAATTATAGTACCACCTGGAATAAGACTATCTTCTTCGTTTTCTTGTTTGAGTGATAGTTCGATCTGAGATTCAGTACAAACTTCGAGCCAAATAGCAATTCGTGACTGATGTGGTGTACGAGGATAAACAACACGGTGAATTCCAGCTTTGAAATGGTTTTCAGTTAGAATGCTCGCTGCTTCACCCAGCCAAACGACGCCGATAGAATGTTGATTATGTTCGACGTTCACCGGCCCATCGATCCACTGGTGACTGGCTCGGTCTTTTAACTGAAGACCATCACAAGTTGACAGAATACTCAAAGAGAATAGACCCGGATCGAAATGAGGAACACAGTTAACTTCATCGGTATTCACACCCACTTCGGGTGGTTCGGCAGCACCTGTTCTTTCATTGAAATAGTGCGCGATGTCAAGCATTCTCAAATGGGACATTGACACTGCTGTTTTCGTAGAACTTTGAGCCATTATCGGCATTTTGGAAATGATCGATCTGATGACACTGGTTAAATTGTCAAGCAGAAGCGTTAAATAGTGTAAGGTTCGGTCAACATTGTCAGTTAAAGGAGGATCATACTTTTGGAAGCCATACTGATCCATCAAAACTCTAATGCTTTCTTTGTGATCAACACGTGAATAGCCAAAACCATTGGATGAACAATACTTGGACTTTTCCGATCGCTCTTGTGAAAAGAATGTTTCAAGGTTCATTTGTGTTTCATGTAGTTTCTTAGTTAGTTGGCCATTGCCATCAGGTAATCGCATAAAACACCAACCATTTGATTCGAATTCGTTTTGCAAACGTTTTACTTCTTCCAAATCACCGAGTAATAATTTGGTAAAGTCAACGACCGTACGATCGTTCAAACTGGAGTGAGCCATAATGAAACAGAACAGAATATAATAAAGAATAAAATGTGAATTCGTATTCCTACTTATAGAGCAAAAGTGTACAATATTACGCCCACACATTTTCGTTCTCTTGGTTATTTCCGTTGCTTTTGCACCAATACAAACAGTGTATGTAATTTGTTCTCGATCGAACACTCTTCGCGGAAAGGTAGAGAATCTGAGAGTACAATTTTTATAAATCATATTTTTACATAGTCAAATTACAAAAACAACATGAATGATAAAGTAAATGTGTCTTCGGCGATTATTGTGCTTCATGTTTTCTTTATGTTATGTCATGGTAAAAACATGGCGGCAGCTGTGTTAGTCGTTCTTGTTGAGGTTTTTGCTGTCGTCGCCACATTTCTATCTTTTAGAGTTGCTTTAGCATCGTCGAGTATATCCGAATTGAATCGTATTGCGATTAGCTTGTTTGTTTCATCCAGGTCTCCTGGATCGTGAAAACTGACTATGACGAAAATATGGTCATTCGACCAGATCATCGAGTAACTTATTCTATCAACACTACTACTATACAGTTAACTCTATTTTGCTATACATCTATATTTACCGTTCGAATCCTCCAGTAGAACGTAGAATCACGAAATCAATATCAACTTCGGATTACTACGATGCAAGTGCACCACCGCCGCCACCTTATTCCAGTTTATCGTGTGGACATTCATTTAATAATGTAAAAGTATCGATGTAAACCTAGAATTTTTGCTTGTGATTTGATATGATTGAGAAACGGACGAACATTCAAATGAATTGTGAAATAATGTATTAAAAGTGTATTTGTATGGCGAAGTTGGAAGAAAAGAATTACATAAATAAACTCGGTAGAATCAGCATACCTTTCCATTCTTCCAACATACAAAGTTTTCGAAACAATGGCAAGTGCTGCTGTTGCGAAGCCTGAAAGAAGAATCGCTTGTTGCATTGGAAACGGTTCGTATAGTCATCAATCCAATCGACTACAACAATCAGCGAACAACGTAAATGATTTGGGTACGTTATTCAAGACGCTTGGTTTTGATGTTACTACAATTATTAATGGAAATCGTGAGAGACTTTCTCAAGCGATCAAAACGTTGACTCAAAATGTAAAACAGGGTGACCTGATCATCTTCTATTATTGTGGTCAAACCTATCAAGTCAATGGTATCGACTATCTCATACATGTGGATGATGAACAATTGAATTCTGAATCAGATGTGGCAAGTAGTGCTTTGAACATTCAGGAAATTTTGAATCTTTTATCAGAAACTGGCAAACATTTTGCAATCATTCTGGTTGTGGATTCTTCAAAAATATACCAACTAGGTAATGCGCGTGAATCAAAGAGCAAAGCCGATGTTCCCTCTTCTCGAGGCATTCGAAAAATTAATCTACCACGTGAAACAATCGTTCAATTTGCTTGCGATGTTGACCAAATGGTAAATGTTATCACTCACAACGATCGGAATACATTATATACAAAAATTTTGTTACAATACATGGCCAAGGAATATGTGCATGTGAAGGATATTTTCAAGTATATAGAAAACGATGTGTATCAGCAGACCAATCGTCAACAACGGCCATCATCTGCGAATCGATTGTCGAAAGGTTTGCAAGTGTTTTTGAACTATGGGATTGGTAAGTGAAATCGTGTATTCTACTTTCTCCTATTTCCGTTATTTCAGTAGTACCAAAGTTACGTATTGAAGAATTCATATCAGATGCAAAGTTGTCACGCGAGGAAGAAGCGTATTTTAGTGAATGCAAAGAATATTACAAGTTAACAAAGGAACCGTTAGTTTGCATTTCTGATGAAGTACTTGCCCGTGATAGTTCGTACTCATGCACGACGCTCAAATTAGCCGTTGATGTAAATTGTTATCAGTTGGAATTAGGAACTTTCTTCGATAAATTTTGTGAAACAATCGGCTTACCCCGAGAGTTTTT